GTGTGTGTGTGTGTGTGTGTGTGTGTGTGTGTTTGTTTGTGATGATCTTGTTGCATTCTCAGTTACAGTATCTACAAAGTGTAATTTACTCAAGATTTGAATAGAGAATTTGTTTTTCTAGTAAACTAAGCTGGAAGATGGACAGAAGAACACGTATTGCTTAGGTTTTGGAGAGGGAACTGCTTAACGCTATCCATCACTTTGACCCGAGTAAGCAAAGATTCTCAACTGTCTTTGACATCTGTGACTGAGATATCTTTGGAATACACCTTCTGGCTCTAAATAGGTAGTTTGTTTACTGTTTTTGACAACAGACCTTTTGGGAAACACGTGTTTCCCTAGACCATTTGAGCTTGTCTGGGGTTCCTGCCTTTCTCAGCAGATCTCTCTCTCTTCACTCACTGGATCCTTTGCTATAAAGAAGCCTGCAGTTCCATTCAGGGAGTCTTTGCCTATGCCTACATCTTGATCTCTTGTCTTTATTTTTTTCTGTAACAATTTCAGGGTTCCAGGCCTCACAGTAAGGTGTTTAATCCATTTAGAGTCTGTTTTGAAGTCAATTTTTACACAGAACGGCTATGGATCTAGCTTCATTCTTCTGCACATTGGTTCCTAGTTTTCACAGCACAGTTTGTTGAAGAGCCTGTCTTCCTCCGATATGTATTTCTAGTGAAAAGTTTGGTGGCTGTAGCTGGTTGGGTTCATGTTTGTGGTTCTCTTTTGTGTTCATTGATCAATGTGTGTACTTTTGTTGTGGTACCATGCTCTATAGTGTAGCCTGAAGTCAGGTCTGGTGATACCTCCAACATCATCATTCTTTTTCCTTCAGGGTTGCTCTGGCTATCCAGGGTTTTTTTCACTTCCATATGATTTTTGAGATTGCTTTGTTCATTTATCTGATGGAGAATCTTGGAATTTCTATGGGGACTTCATGCATCTATAGATATTTAGGGTTTTAACGTGAGACTTTATTTTTCTGTTTCATTATAGTTTTTCTGCCCTTGAGGGTTAACTGATATCTCTGTTGCCTTCAGGATGCAATTAA